CTTTTCATATCTACAAGTAATTTTTATCTACCTTTTTACCAGGATTCCTTACATTCAATGTATTCGCTATTCGGTTTATTTCGATGGCTTCCATACTTTTACGTTTGGCAGCAGACATGTCATAAACAGCAAAACGACAAGTTTGAGACCGTCCAGTTTCTGTCTTGTTCTCAGCCAACTCCAAATTTTTTACCCACAGCTTCTGCAGGAGCTTTTGTGCTCAGCCAACTTTTCTTGAATCGAACAACAAGTCTCTCCAACATAAAAGCGACCACATGAGTACATTATTTTTTAGCAATCCGATCTGAATAATGGCTTATTTTTTCTCTAATAGTGGGCATAACTAAAGAAAATGTCGTAGTTCCCTACTTATTCACTATTCCTTGTGAAGAGAGACCTTCGAATCTTTTCACAAAGCACTTTCACTCGAAATGGAAGTAAGCTCAGCAAGTCTGATTTCTACACCTATGATTAAAGGGATCTACCAACCTGTGTTTCCGAACGCCACGAACCATTAAAACATACTTTAGAACACCCGATACCGAGACATAATATATTCTCACAAGGTTCAGCTTTAATTGTCCTTTTGACTGGGCTCGGCCACGAAGAGACCCGACGTTTGCTACAATCTTCAGGCGTCACACAAGGCAAAATTATGACTGGTCCGGTCATTTTGGCTTTATAGCATGTCAGGTCTATTGGGCGGCGGTAGCAACGGGCCCCGGTTGCCCGGGCCCGATTGACAAGACAACTGATCAGGTTTCCTTCAGTCAGGCGTCTCATGATACGGCCACCGATCAACTTTACAGGACTCACTCGACTCACCGGAAAGGTGAAATGAGACGGCAATTCGAATGGATTGACATAGTTAGCCTTCCGACCGCATTTGATGACCGTACCCCTCGGATCATAACCCATTTTGACAAGGAAGAAGAGGTCGTGCGTGAGTGTGCGGTGCATGTGTGTGTGTGTGTGTGTATACGCATTTGTCTCATTTGTTAGAAGTCTTGCCTACCGTCGTTTGACCGGCCAGGGATACAACGAAAACCAGCTCCTCTTCTCTACTCCCCTGCATGCTCGATTAGGCTCGATTATATATTTTGCGGAAAGAGAAGCCATCAATTTTTGCTTCACTGCTCCGCTATTCACAATCTAACCGACCTCGCGACAGCAACCCATGGAACAAGGGGAATATATTTCACTCCTAGGCTCCTCCCACCAATCCCAGCCCAAGCCCATCTCTTCCTTCCTCAGCCCCCCCTCCCCCCGATTGAGGCTTGATGGGCCCTTTAACAATAACTATGGCGCATCCAACCCAAGCTTATGGGGCCGATTTATAAAGCGAAACTAGAATGAAAATTATATCCCCTCACTTATCCTGAGCAAGTATTTCGGACTGTAATGCAAGCTGACTACTTAGTAAAGTTTTTACACGACGGGGTTCGACTCCATGAAATTCAAACTCTTCGTACGGTTCTTACAGCCATGCTGCATCACTTTTATGGTCCTGCTGAAATGGATGACTCACGAGGTTGGTGTATCCTTAAAATCCTGACTGATTAAGCTCCCAAATATCCGTTGATACTGCCAGATATTGCAGAGTAAGTTGATCCAAACGATGCAATAATGGTAATCAATTAATTGATAGATTGTGTGACCTATTCTGCAATGGCATAGGCCATTAATTCCCATATCCAAGTCTCGTAGAATGATGCATACGCATAAAGATTCCGCAGATGTGAGCAGCGTAATCATCTCGTCTGTAGAATATGGAGCAGCCTTGATTGTTCCGTTGTTTGTATTAATCCTAAAGTTGTGTTATGGGACCTTCTCGGAATCCGAAGGGCATTGTGATTGTCGATTAATGGCCGACTTGTCGCGGTTCCTAAAAAGGTAAACGTATGAATCATTTTAATCCAACTATCCATGCAAAAGGGAACGTCAAATAATATGGAACAACTGAAGAGTTCTTCGAAAGCCATTTATGCATCATAACACGTGATCTAGTGTCTACAAATAGAAGGCTTACCAAGGACCTAAATCAACATGCTCAGCTTTTCTAAAGCGTATAAATATAGGAAAAAAATATTTATAATTCTGTTTTGCTATTTGCTTGTTCGTTTAGTTCCAGTGACGACACAACATAGTTCATCAGCACAACCTCTTACACATCGTCACAGTTGATGCACAAGTTGACTAAAGCAAGGGAAAATGTAGCCATAGAAACCCGCTAGTTTGATATTGTATTCTTTGCCCGAAGGAATAATCCGTTCTCGAATGAGATGCCGATCTCATAAACCCAATTATATTCAGTCAACATCCTACAAACTATGCGATTGTCAATATAATTTTTTATTCCAAATATTCATAAGCGGCACATCAGTCAAAATCTGAGAATATTCATTTTCACTGCAATTTATCCGCAGACAACCTGCGTTGAGAATGCTTGTTTCTTGCCTTATCCCTCCACCTGAGTTCCAGCAGTAAATCGGTCTCAAATTGTCGTTGGCTCTCAGTCCCTGCATAAAATAGGCTTGCCAGACAGTGCCAAAAAGCAGCCCTTGTACAGGAAGACCTATTTGGAGGCCGATGGGGAAGGATTGGAGTTGAAAAAGTGATGTCTGCATAGTCTACAGCTCTCGGACCGAGACTGGACAGACATTAGCCGGCGTATACATCACTTAGCCTCAAGGCCTGTCTCATTTCCTCATCGAAGCACGGTACCGCTCTTCTCATCGCCCCTCAGAATACTGCTTCTCAGGCTCATACGCGGCAATTGTGTCTCTCACTGTTCGGCTAATGTCAAGGCTTCCCCCGGCCGGTCTAACCTCTGCTCCAAACTCTGCAGCCTAAAATCACCGCCCTAAATGGATCCAAGTTTCACTATGTACTTTAGGGAAAGGCTGTCTGCTATTAGGCTAAAAGCAAAGAAAAGAGATGAAGCTAAAACCAGAAGGAAGGAGTGAAAATGACAGGGAATTTTCAGCAGGTGAGAAGAAGGGAATTCAACCTATCTATAAAGTGTTTGCTCATGTTTGTTAGTCCTAGTATGGTGTTACGCCTAGGCGGATGTATACTATCTTCAATCCGCTAGCTCTAATCCGACATCGTCTTGTGGCCCAGCTCGACCTTTTGTATGGCACAAGGCACTGGTGGCCAACCTCATTCGTTCCATTTATTCAGGATGCAAGATCTGGATTTTTCTGTTACCTGTAGCTAATCCATTTTTGTTAATATTAACCACACTATTGGCGGTATTCATCACTCACTACTTATATCGATAGCAGTAGTAATAATAATTAAGTCTTAAACAATAATGTGAGCATGACGGCTACCTTAAGAAGTTAGCGTCACTCACATTTTCAGTTCAATGATGACAGTGGTTGAAGGGATTTTGTAAATTATACGGCCAAGAAAGCGAAGAACCTGGGTTTGGAACTGTTTACTAGAAGCTGTGGTGAGAATTTTTTCTCACAAATACATGATGAAATTTCGAAGACAATTTGTGCAGCCCTTTCTACCAATATGTTATTCGAAATAAAAATTCCAATCACATTACTAAAAATACTCTGGTCAATAGCAATATCTGTTATCACTGCCTTCAGGGCCATTGAAACAAATACCTAACCTTAACCTGTAATTGTGTCAGTACCCAACGAATTATTGTCCCCTACAAGCACATTTGAATAAGGTGCATTTTCATGAAGCAGTCTTGCCTCTCTCGAGTCAGAATGTGGGAAAGAACCGGCGATATTTGCCTTATTGTTGGTGAACATAGGTTGGATAATGCTACTCTCACTTGGGCATCAAAGTATTAGGCGTGAGACAAGATTTGATTGTTATGGCGATGGTTAAGACAGTTGAAAATTCGATTTAAATACGCCAGTTCCAATCATCCTTATGGGCGCACAATTGTCTACAAATAGTTCGGGAGCCAGTTGTTAAAGCACATACATGCACACACACACACATATATATATATATATATATATATATGGACAGAGGGATATTTTCGCCGGGACTGCCCATTCTAATCACCAAAACAGAGAGTTTTACACCGTCAGTAGTATCTGAGACTGGTGCTTAGGCCGTGAGACTGTGTTCTCTCCTTTAAATGGTCTGCTGCCAGGCCTCCTCGAGTTAGTCACTCAGTCCTTGCGCCCATAGCTCTTATTACCCACCTCCCCAGTCTGAGAGAGCCAGAAGGAAGCTGCTATTTTCATTCTCCATCCTGTAGGTATTCCGACCTTAAGCCGACCATTCAGCCGGAGGGGTGTGTCTGGTAGCAGTGGCGGGTCATTTGGGCAGCCGAGTGAGATGAAGAGGATATGGGAGGGAGTTTGGCAGGAGGCTGCATTCGTTTATGTGACGATGTGTTTACGCGTACAGGCTTGTTTGTTTGTGCTTTAACATGCGTATCTGCATGCACCTCGTTAATATTAACTTAATTGTCTTGCTTACAGGGGCACACAAACATCTATACATTCACAGCCATGTATGAACATGATATACATACATCGAGAGGACTTTGGTCTTTTAGACTTTTGTAAGTGCGCAAATATGGTAGTGGGGTGTGAAATGTGAGTGTGTTGAATAGATTGATG